GATGAATCCTCCAAAGCCAAAGGAAGGAGGGACTAGTTAGAACTACAATTAATTTGAAATGTTTTTGGGTGAAATAGTGATGCAACATTTGGAGATCCACACTCTGAGGATTCTGGGCATAAAAGTTCCTCAATAGATATAGAAAGGATCCATTGGGAAGAGGGGGAAAGGAAGTGTTCTCCATTAGCTTATTTTACTAACTTTTACAATGCATCCCAAGCTGCAATTTCTGGTAGCAACTCCACATTTTATGATGGTTTGGCCTTTGAAAGAATCAGTTCCAAGTGCATGAATCCCTCCCTATTTTTGTCATCAATCTAACCCACTCAACTTCAACCATTCACAAATGCAAGAGAAAATAAATCCCCTCTATTGAAATGAATTATTTTAGGACTCAGTGACCCTCTCTACTCAAAAACTATCATCTGTTTTCTCAGGTTGTGGCTATATCCGTGGAGTAGCGATTGGCATTTGAACATCCTCAATGTTTCAAGCTTAAACTTAACAAAGATGAAAATGGAAAACGGAGATGGAGGAGGAGACAGAAAGCGGAACAACGATGTGATTCCTATCTTTCTGAAAATTTTCATCAGTTGGATTTTATTTTGAAAACTTGAGGAATATTGAAGGGCAAATTTGACATTTTGTTTTTTCTATTATAATTTAACGGCAATGTCAATTATGAGAAATAGTAGGAGTACTTTAAGACAATAGTAAAATAGTAAGGGTAGAATTAGCCAATTAACTAAACCATAAGGATAGTTTAAAAAATTTGCCAAAAAAAACTGACATGAGAAATTGATCCCATGTGTCTATGCATGAAATTATTACATATTCATCATATACATCAAATAAAAATAATGTATGTAAAGCAAGAATTTGTTATTAATGTTGGATATATGTAACCGGTGACTCAATAGATAAATACTAAGGTTGCATTTGTTTCAGATGTAAATGCAGTTTTACACCGATGGAATTGAGACACGATGGTTTGGTGAGAGTGTAAAATATGGACCAGCCATTGTGCTCATTTACACTCATCCTATTTGGTTACGTCTTGTTGCAGTGGAAGATTTATCAGAGAGGGAGGGAGAGAGAGAGAGAAGGGTGGAAGGGAATCAAGAGACAACCTTATTTGTTTACACCTTTTATAAAAGTAGAGTAAATTAGCAAACACAAGAGTATAGAGAAAAGATTCTCAGAGGCTCAGAAGAGAGAAGGGGCAAAAAGATAGAGCCACCATACTAGCTCTTGAAAATTTTTCACTATGGCAGCTAGGAAGAGCTACCTCACCAACGATTAGTTCTGATACCATGTTTGAATTTGACAAACCGGCCAGTGGAATTTGAATCACGCTGCCTCGCCTGAGTTGAAGAAGCCGATGACCAATGTACGTGATGCTGCAGCCATGGAGGGAGATTTGTGCCAACACAGAGGCATCCAATTCCAGGACAGTGTAGAACACATATGAAGAAAGTGGATTTTATAGATTAGGAATAGGGAAGGGCAACAAAGGAAAAGACTATGAAGACGTATATCAGAATCAAGAATCTGATATGCACGGTCAGTTCCTCTTGAGCATACCAAAATAGCTCAGGGGAAGCTACTGGAATTGAATCTCGAAGTCGTCCGTCTCGTCTGCCAGCCCGCTATTCCTCCTCATCTTGATCCGTTTCAACCTCTCTATTGCTAGCCGCAACGTCAGCTTGTGGCACCGCCGCTGGTACTTGAGCCCATTGATGCAGTAGAGAGTCTGAGCCACCGAGACATAGAAGATGAGATGGGCCATGGTGAGGAGGCTGATGGGGACCCAACAGTGGCGACATTGTAGCTTGGGCGACTGGACCAGGGCAATGGAAACCGGGCCTAGGAAGAGGAAGAATTGGAAGAGCTTCCAAAGTTCCTTCTTTTCGAGATCAAAGGCACGCTTCTTCTCCAAGGTTTTCTTGAAGTGGAGCTTGATTATGGTGTTTAGGGCTTGTAGGGTTGTTTCCTTTGGAACTGCTATTCATAGCCCACCATTGCTGATTGCATGCCGAGTCTTGGCCCCTGACCTCCTTCTCAGTTCCCACCCAACAAATGTGGTGGAATGATGCAAGGAAGAGACAAGGTGGAGCAGAGATGGCTTGAAAAGACAAGGTAGAATGATGCAGAGAGAGAGAGAGAGTGAGAGAGAGAAGGAGAAGAAGAAGAGAGAAGGAGAAGAGAGAGAGCGAGCGAGTGAGAGAGGAGAAGAGAGAGAGAGAGATGTAATAAATACATTGATAATTTTGATGTATTTATTACATCGATTATCGATGTAATTAAATATAAACATGTAATTTTATATCGAAAACATGTTTACCAAATGTCAACCGGGGTGTAAAATTTACCCGATTCTATTTTACACCTTTACCAAACGCAGCCTAAGTTACTAGTTTGAGATCATTGTTAAATGTTGGGGGTGGATACCGTTATGCATGCTTATCACTTTCACCAATTTACCAATTGATGTGGAGAAAACATGATTATTTGTGTTTGATGTATATGCCTAATAAATTTTAAATTTTCAGAAGAATGATATAAATTATCAATTAGGGGCTCCTCTTCATATAATTAAAATAATTCTATTTGACAATAAAAAGCTTTGGAGTTTTATAGGTTTTCTTTTTCATCAATTTTATTTAACAAAGCCCATATGTCACTTGGATCACGATTTAGTATCATGAAACAAGATAAGTATGAAAAAAAAGAAAAACAAATAAATAAAATTATGTAAAAGTCAACAAGTACATTGCATTAACTTCAAAATTCTTAATCCGACGGTTCGTAGAAATAATTACCTAATATCGTGTTCTCTAAGATCAACTAATGCAACGCACTGAATTTATTGCCACCATTTCATTTTTCACTGACCTAACTACGTTCTATCACTTTAACTCTCTCTAAACTATGTTTGTGTCAAACTTCCCCAAACTTTGCACCACTCTGACGGTGTTGAAAAATTATAAAATTGCTCATTTGTTGTCTATATTTACAAAGAAAATGATATTTTTAGGGTTTTAATTCCGTAGTCTTAAAAAGCCAATTGGAGGACTTCACTTTGGCTGTTTGGAAAAAAAAAAAAAAAACAGCCTGGTCTGTTTTGGGAGTCTTTACATATGACACCTTAATTAATTTATAGATCCTCATTTGTCTTTTTAAAAAGATATTAAGTGTAAATATTATTTTATTCGCACTTATTATGTGATGCCATTGATTGCAGGCTTCCAAAACAGCCCAAGCAGTTTTTTACAAACAGCCAAAGTTTGCCCCAATTAGAGTAATTTGTGTTATAAATTGGGTGAAAGTTTGGGACGGTGATACACACAAAAAAAAAAAAAGTTTAGGAAGTCAACAGTGGAGTGATGGATCCCAAAACAAAAAGGGGATACCTTTAAGCAAAAAATAAATAAATAAAATGAACTTTTGTACTTGGAGTTTGGGGTGGTCATGAGCCGACTCTTTCATGTGATATTTGAGCTCGGCTTGTGAAAAGCTCGGATCAGTTCGATTTAAATCGAGCTTCGAGTCAAATTAGAGCCTGATATATAGGCTCGTTTGTTAATCGAGCCGAGCTTGAACCTAATGAAACTCGACTCATGAGGCTTGCGAGCCTAGTATTAAATAAATAATTTTTATTATACATACATACATACATACATATAATAAATGATTTTATTATATATATAATATTTTTATTTTGTATGTAAAATAAAAATAATTTTTATAATTCTTATTTTTTTTATCTAAAAAATAATATAAACCAAACCGAGCTTGAACTCAAACTTCTAACTTGAATTGAATTCAAATTGAACCGAGTTGATCTCCAATGGCTAAGTATTCGACTTGGCTCAGCTCGAATCCATACTACTTGAAGTTAGACCTGTTCATGGGTCAGGCACGGGTCGGGCTTTTGCTCTTCATTAACATAATTTTTTCAAGCCCGAGCCCAAACCCGGCCCAACCAACAAGCCTACAACTTGCACCCGAGCCCGACCCTCATAAAAAGCCCGAAGCCCAGGCCTGAGCCTGAAGCCCGACTTGGGAGTCTGAGCGTCGGTGCCCTCTGAGATTGAGAGAATGGTGCCTGAGTTGAGTTTGCCGATTCTTGGGAGTCTGAGAGTGAGAATGGAAACTGAGAAAATGAGAAGATAGAAGATGAAAACAGTGTCGGCCAGAGAGAGAACTCACTGCCAAAGAGAGAGACGACCTAGTTCTAGTGGCACCAACCGCCGGTTTTTGAGTTCGCAGAGTGAAAACGGTGTGCCTGGTGGGTTCGCCGGTTTTGAGAGTCTGAGAGTGAGAAACTGAGAATGAGAAGATAGAAGATGAAAGCGGTGTTGGGTGGAGAGAGAGAGAGAGAGCTCAATGCTGAAGAAAGATGACCTAGCTCTGGTGGCACCGACTTCTAGTGCCTGAGTTCGCAGGTGCAACTAGGTTCGCCGATTCTGAGAGTCTAAGAGGGAGGAGCGAGAGCCGATTCTGAGAGTGAGATTGAGAAATGAGAATGAAAAGAAAAGTTTTAAGAATTTAGGGTTAGGGTTAGATGGTTTAGGAATTTAGGGTTTAACTTATACAAAAGTTGGGCGGGGCTGGGATTGGGCCGAGCTTTTTAACAAATCCCGAGCCCAACCCGTAAAATAGTCAGGCTCGACCTTTTAGGGCCGAGGTCAGGCCTACGGGCTAAAATGCATGTTCAATCCTGTCCGGGGGCCGGGCCGAGCCAGGCCTGCCCGTCGGGATACCCGGCCCATGAACAGGTCTAGTAATACTTGATGGGCAAGGAATCGGTAGTTAGTGGTCAAAGTCGAGGAAACGGTCCACCCACGATGTGTTAAAATTACTTTTGTTTACTCTACTTTTGCACATGATTGGCTTTTCACGTGCCAATCTACCCTATCTCATGGTTTCCATCTCCAACCAAACACACATCCAGAAACCCAGATGACGTCTGGACAGTGGTCAGACAATGAACGGAAGAGTATATGTAAATTCTTTACTCCTTAGCCATAAAGAATTTCCGAAAGAAGAACTAAAGTATTTGATATATAAATAATTGGCCATCTCCAGAAAAGCAAAAATCGTTTGTAAGAAGTGTTTGTAATAAGTCTGATCACTGACCAGTGTCAACATCCCCAATCTCGGTCTATTCCAATGGAGATTTGGTTCATCATCCTCGCCTCTCTCTGCATCTCTGCAGCCCTTAAATCCCTCCTGGATCTACTCTCATTCAACCAGAAGAAGCTCCCACCAGGTCCCTTTACTGTGCCCATCATAGGCAACTTCTTATGGATTCGTAAATCCTTCTACGATATTGAAATCATTCTTCGCAATCTACGCACCAAGTACGGCTCCATCATCAAGCTTCAGATTGGCTCTCGCCCATCCATCTTCATCGCCAACCATGAGCTCGCGCATAAGGCTCTCATCCACCACGGCGCCACCTTCGCCGATCGTCCTCCAGCTCTCGCACCCAACCGCGTCATTTCCAGCAACCAGCACAGCATCAGTTCTGCTGCCTACGGCCCACTCTGGCGTCTCTTCCGGCGGAATCTCACCCACGAGATCCTCCACCCTTCACGGATCAAGTCCTACGGCAACGCCCGCGTCTGGGTTTTGGAGATACTAACCAACAAGTTCAGAGAACAAGCCAATTCCGGACAACCCGTTTGCGTCATGGATCACTTCCGGTACGCCATGTTCTGCTTGTTGGTGCTCATGTGCTACGGAGAAAAGCTCGATGAGAAGATTATCAAAGACGTCGAATCCGTTCAGAGGAAGATGAATACCAGTTTTGGTCGATTCAGTGTACTGGCTTACATGCCAAGATTGGGAAAGATTGTATTCAGAAAGAAGTGGAACAAGCTCTATTAGCTAAGGCACAATCAGGAAAGCGTTCTTATTCCTCTAATAAGAGCCYGACAAGAGCAAGAGAAGAAATTACAGAACAACGAAGGAAAGACGGATGACACCGTCGTCTGCTATGTCGATACACTGCTCAGCCTTCAACTCCCAGATGGAAGAAGGAAGCTGACGGAGGAGGAGATAGTGAGCTTGTGCTCGGAGTTTCTAACCGCCGGCACTGATACAACATTCACGGCGTTGCAGTGGATCATGGCAAACCTGGTGAAGTATCCACACATCCAAGCAAAGTTGTTCTCAGAGATCGAAGGAGTGGTAAACTCCGGCTCAGAGATCAAAGAAGAAGATCTGCAGAAGATGCCGTATCTGAAGACGGTAGTATTAGAGGGTTTGAGAAGGCATCCACCTGCACATTTCGTGCTACCGCACGCAGTTAGAGAGGATATCACCATAGATGGGTATGTGATACCGAAGAATGCTGCAGTGAATTTCATGGTAGCGGAGATGGGATGGGACCCAAAAGTATGGAAGGCCCCGATGGAGTTCAAGCCGGAGAGATTCTTGACTGGTAATGTTGATGGAGGGAAAGTGTTTGATATTACGGGGACCGGGGAAATTAAGATGATGCCATTTGGTGCTGGAAGGAGAATCTGTCCTGGTCTTGGCTTGGCTTTGCTTCATCTGGAGTATTTTGTAGCCAATTTGATCAGGGACTTTGAGTGGACGGCTGTGGATGGAGATGAAATTGATTTGTCTGAGAAAGTGGAGTTCACCGTGGTTATGAAAAATCCTTTGAGGGCCCACATATCTCCAAGGATGAAAAAGAATATCTCCATCACAAGGTCTATTTAGGGGGCTCACACATACTGAATAGATTAATAGAATATATTATTTGATATTTTTGGGCCCATTTTAATATTATCTTTACTTGTAAATACATATAAGGATGTTGATGGGTCAGAGTACGGGTGCAATTTGGGTCGGGTTTGGGAGGGAAAAACTTGGATCAGGTTAGGTTGGGAATCTGTTTAATTTTCAATAGGCTTGAACCCTAACCTAACCTAAGCATGATCTAATTTAAATTCTTCAAAGCACTTAATTATAATACCTTTTATGGTAATTAAGGAGAGAAGCCCTCTTGTAGTTTACAAAATGAGGACCTGCTATTGTTTGAGTTAAACGTGTTACGTTGATTGCCTTTCTCTTCCAAGGTTGCCTTGCATACACTCCAGATCTGCTGCGGAAGGTAAAATTTGTTTGGATAAGTGATGTTCTGGTGTTCTTGTGCGTTACAAAGAGTGGCGACAGGGAGAGTACTTGTTGGCATGCAGATAAGTTGTATGTTTATCCACCTTTTACGAGGAATAGATATTCTCCAGAAACCTTAGTTACCATGGGACCCAATATAGCGGCAAACTGAAATATTCTCGATGTGTGGCTGCAGTGTCTTGTGGATAGTTAGGTTGTGGGTTGCGTTTTAAGTAGCAGATCTCGATTCATATGAAATTGCGGGCTACATAATTCCCATGTTAAATGAGCACTTTCAAATTTTTTTGACACCTGTCCCTTGAAATATCCCCAACCTAATTAATTAGTTTCAGACAAATATATCCTATCAGTAGAAAATCAAGGCTCTGTGTTGGAGATATATCATTTGAAGTTTGACATGGGAAGCTTTATAAAGCTGGCTACCCTCAGTTGGTTACATCCCCATCAGTCCATCACTAAGCTGAAACAGGAAGAAAATTGGTCTCTATTTTCATGGCTTAATTATTGAGGGTTCAAAGTTGAGATATCTGATCCTTTTACAAAAAACCCAAGTAAAAAAGAAGTTGATATTTATTAACCATTTATAGAACCGGGGAGGTAAGAACACCCATCTGAGAGATTTTAACTGGTTCAGCTGCTTTGAAGCGCTCGGGATAAGTTATTGAAAGAGATTGAAGCAGAGGCATATTTTCTCCAAAAATATATGCTTTTAGAAGCTAAAAGCACCCTTTCACTTCTGTATTTTTAGATCCAGTTCCACTGTTTGCTGGCTTCTTTTTGGACTCATTAGTAGAAACCCATGACTAATCCATATAAATTGGTACAAGGTGACTCCCTATTGGATCATCAAACGTTCTGCATCTAGGGATGGTAAGTTAGCTCTGGATATCACATTGAATCCTTGATCCCCACTTAAAAAAAAGTGATAATTCCTCACCTAATTCAATTTATATTGGAACGCTTCACATACACATAGAACCACTTATTCAGAGTTATATAAAAACCTCCAGCTCAAGCTCCTTTATTCAAGGAGAGAAGGTTAGTTGAATCTCCATGTTCTATTCTGCTACCATGAGTATCAAGGTAAGGACTATGGAGGCTGAATATATCTGTTCTCCATCTCAAATCAGCTAAATTTATCTTAGCTATCCACTGTATATCTTTATCTTTATTAGTTCTCTTTAGTTTACATAGACTCTCGTCTTTATCTTTTGTTTCCAGAAAACCCAGTTGAGAGTTGACATTAACAGCCACAAGTGCAAGACCAAAGTAATGAAAGCCGTTGCCAAACTTTTAGGTACTCTCTTACAAATCTTAGCCAATTCTACTCTTAATTTGACAAAAAACCCAAATCAGTTTTCTTTTTTCACTTAATCATCAATATCAACTAAATTTCCTTATTTGAAGCAAAAAAAAAAAAAAAAACAAGTGTATATGATCCAGTAGTCAATTATTTTCTTAGGCTGCATTTGGACAATGCAAATAAGTGTGAATGCAAATATGTAGAGTGTAAAAGGGTTCAGATAAATTGCAAAATTGGGTTAATTTTGCACTGACAAATTTATCTTTTTATCAAATAGATTTTTAGCTGTAATAGATGCAAACATGAATTCCAATAAAATATATGCTTTTTTTTCTATCAAAAACCCACTTGAATGCAAATTTACTTCATTTTTATTGATGTACTTTTACATCTTATTATCAATATAAATATGCATTGATCTGTGTTGGGCCAGTAATTTACATCTTACTTCATTTATTGATGTACCCTAAACTGGGATTTACACTCTATTTGCAATATTCTTCTAATCTTCTTTGACTTTCGTATTCCCCAGACGGCCGCGTGGCCCGCACCAACCACCAGCACCAAGCGGCAATGCCGATCGCCGTCTCATCAGCAAGCAAGCACCAATGCCATCTTTGATCTCTATATCTCTCTTCTCTCTCTTTCTCACATCTCCTCTCTGCGGCTCTCCAGGCACCACCTCTCAAGCTCTCACTGTAGGCGACAACCGACAGCAACCACCGGCACCAACCAGTTTGGCATCGACAGCAACCATTGACAGTTTTAGTTTTTTTTTTATTTTAAGTGCATAAAAAAACCGAAAAATTGAACCACGAACCAGTTAACCGATTGCATCAGCTCGATTTCAATTTGGATATTTAAAAAACCAATGAAATCGGTTAGGTTTGAAAAAATACCCCAACCGAACCGTGAGCACCCCTGCATAAAACCCCATAGTTCAATCCCCAATACCCAAAATACCCTGGTATAGACAGTGTACAAACATTTTTTGCCTTAGGCCCCAGACTCCCATAATTGTAAATTTCTCCTAGTTTTTAGAAAATTGAATTGCTATCAAAACCTCTACTAGTTTGATCTCCAAAACCCATAATACCCTTGTATGGATGTTGTGTACAAGCATTTTGTTTGTGATATTCAAACTGGGTGCAAATTATGCACTGGGTTCAGTTTTACACACGCTTGTCTGATAGTATGACTTTCCTCCCTCCCTGATGCAAAATTTGCATTTTGTTTCATTGGCACTCATAGACAATGCAAATTTTGCATCCAAAGCTTGATGTTAAATTTTCACCACTTTTATTATCAGGTCTGGGCCGGTTCAGTTAATAAATACACACACCTGTTCCAAATCTTATCACTAATCCAGATAGTAAATAGGTGCAATCTGATAAGATCCAACTATAATTGAGAGGCCTTTAGGCTTTGTAAATTGACAATAAACCTACTAACTCTCTTCCTCTCGTTTCTCAAAATGTCTTACTTATCCCATATAAAATAATAACAATTTTAGACATTTTATGTGAAATTATATATATATATATAAGGGTTATTTTGTCATGTGATGATGTATCCAATTTTATATGTATTTAAAAAATTGCTTCATTTTCCTTCATTATAAATACAACCAAACAGAGCCTAATGGACCAAAGAAAAACATAATCCTCACAAACAAGATAACCATACAGCAGGGGCGATTCATTATCAAAGCATGTGTGGTTCCATCAACTAATTAAGACCTTGAAATGATCTTAACCACACAAATCATTTCTTGATAGAAGTTTTAATAACGATAATCTATTCAACTAACCGGAGGTATGCGTGCATGATATACGAGGACGGAGGTGATGTCCATTAACTACATGTTACCTTAGTATTCACCCACCTGATCAAAAGGGCTTCAAAACAAGGTGCCAAGGATTGATGTGATACGCAAGCTGAGGTGGTTCAGTTGGTATGTTAGTTGGTTTATTTTAATAGAGATGGATTCAAATTCCCTTATCATTAAATTCTACTATAATCAAATTTGAAGAGGGTGATTACAAATGCTGTTGTACTTTGCTATTCATTATTTAGACAGCCCCTATAGGTAAGGGTGTCAATGGACCGGTTTTGGATTGGACCACGTCCAATATAAAATTAATTTGGACAAATTGAACAGACCAATAAGACATATTGGATTGGATCAATTTAGTCCAAAATATTTATTAGATTAGATTGGACCTAGTCCATCTATAACAAATTTATATTGGATTGGGTTAGATTAAGCTATTATCTGATCTATTGATATAAGATAGGAATATATATATACCAATGAACCAGGTTTGTGTTGAAACCAATCTAAATCAAAATGAATTTGAACAGATTGAATGGTCCAAACATTGAATTGAACGGATCCAAATTGGTCCAAAACATTCATTGGATTAGATTATTGGGCCTAATCCATTTATAACGAATTCGCATTTGGCTGAATCGAATTGGAGTCCAATTGACACCCCTACGGGATTCGGGCGTCTCACCAATTAACCCTCAAAAGTTGCAACATGTCCTATGTCCTAGTAGAAAACTTGGGGTTTTAACTTTCTGTTGCTGACTCAAAACAACCTTCTGCCCAGATATCCTGTTCACTTTTTCTATCCAATCTCTACCCGCTCTGAAATTCTGCCACACATCTCTTCATTCATAATTCATAATAGAGATGTGTGGCTCCATGGATAGGAAAAGTGAATAGAAAATCCCGACTGCCTTTTGAAGTCTGATAGGTCCAAAGTGGAGGTCTAATCTCGTACAATCTCTTCTCCGCCTTCTTTCTCTATAATTGGGCGTAATATTATACACCATTGGTTCCTTCATCGATCCTCACATGGAACAGCGCCACGTCAAAACGTCTGATCCATGGAATGACGTTTTTTCTAGTATAAAGCACCACGGATAGAGTGATAGAGATCCATTTTTGTCCAGTCCTATAGAAAATTTCCTTTGTAATGGAAGTCTGGTTCATCTTCTTCGCGTCTCTCTGCGTCTGTTTCTCTCTGAAATCCCTCTTGAATCTCCTCTCACACAACAAACACAAGCCCAAAGATCTGCCACCAGGACCCTTTTCTCTTCCCATAATCGGCAACTTGTTTTGGTTCCGCAAATCCTTCTTTGATCTCGAACCCCTACTCCGAAACCTCCGCACTAAGTACGGCCCCATCCTCAAGCTTCAAATCGGCTCTCGTCGACTCATCTTCATCACCAACCACCAACTCGCCCACAAAGCTCTGATCCAACATGGTGCCACCTTCGCTGATCGCCCACCACCTCTGCCCATGACCCGCATCTTCTCTAGCGATCAACACAACATCAGCTCCGCCGCGTACGGCCCACTCTGGCGTCTCCTCCGCCGAAACATCACATCCGAGATCCTCCATCCTTCCCGGGTGAAGTCCTACGGCCATGCCCGCAAATGGGTCTTGCAGATATTAATCAACAAGCTTAGACAAGAAGCTGAATCCGGTGAACCAGTTAGGGTGGTGGATCACCTCCGGTATGTGATGTTCTGTTTGTTAGTCTTCATGTGCTTTGGAGATAAACTCGACGAGAAGGTTGTCAGAGACATTGAGAACGTTGAGCGAAAGATCCTGCTTGGCTTTCGTCGATATAATATACTCTCTTTGATGCCAAGACTGGGAAAGATATTGTTTCGAAAGCGGTGGAACGAGGTATATGAGTTGCATCGTAGTCGGGAAAGTGTTATTGCTCCTCTCGTAAGAGCCCGGCAAGAGAGAGGGAAGGAGGAGACAGTCGTCTGTTATGCAGACACGCTACTCGACCTTCGACTCCCCGATGGAGGAAGGAAGCTCACGACGGGGGAGATGGTGAGCTTGTGCTCGGAGTTCCTGAACGGTGGCACTGACACGACAGCCACGGCGTTGCAGTGGATCATGGCGAACCTGGTAAAATATCCAAACATCCAAGCAAAGCTGTTGTCCGAGATCGAACGGGTGGTGGGGTGTGGCGAAGAGATCAAAGAGGAGGATCTACAGAAGATGCCGTATCTGAAGGCGGTGGTGTTGGAGGGTCTGAGAAGACACCCGCCGGGACATTTCGTGCTGCCACACGCAGTGACGGAGGATACCAAGATAGATGGGTATGTGGTACCAAAGAAGGCTATAGTGAATTTCATGGTAGCAGAGATGGGGCGGGACCCAGAAGTGTGGGAGGAGCCGATGGAGTTCAGGCCAGAGAGGTTCTTGGGCAATGGCGATGGAGATCAGGAAGTGTTTGATATAACGGGGTCTAGAGAGATAAAGATGATGCCGTTTGGTGCAGGGCGAAGAATCTGCCCTGGTTTGGGTTTGGCGCTGCTTCATCTGGAGTACTTCCTGGCCAACTTGGTGAGAGAATTTGAATGGAAGGCTGTAGATGATGTTGACTTGTCGGAGAAACTGGAATTCACAGTGGTGATGAAGAAGCCATTAGAGGCCCAAATTTTTCCGAGAAGATAAGATATTGTGTACTTACGGTTGGAGCCTGGGGGAGGCCCATTTACATATTTTAAAGTTTATGATTGAACGTTGAAACTTGAAAATAAACGCCTTGGTAATAAGTAGGGTAGTTAGGCAATTATGGCGTTGTATTAGTTATTCTAGTCTTTCTATAGCCATTACTTTATTTATACGCATATTAAGAGTTTCATACTTTTCACGTTGTATGATAAATGCAAATGGATTACATATTACAAATAGGGTTTAAAAGTTATTGAACCAAAGTAGATTGGAAATATTAGAAATTGAGTTCATCGGTTTTATTAGTTTGATTAGGAATGGCAATTGGATAGAGCGGGATGAGGAGTTTTTTTCCCATCCTGTTTCCGTGAAAATCTCCATCCACTTCTTTGTTTCCATTCCCAATAAATCGGATAAATTTATCCCTATCCCCATCCCCATTCCCATAGGAATCTCCACTCCTTGTGATTCTTTATAATGTCAATTATTATGTTTTTGTTTTTTATTTTATTTAAAAAATAAAAATAAATTAAAATAGTTAAAATTTACAATCCTATTAGAAAATATTCAAATATATTCAACCATATTTTTAAAAATATTAACATATAGACATATGTGTATATATACACACATATAAACATATGTGTATATATACATATATTAGCGGGGATCCCATGAGGTAGGGAGTCCTTTCTTTGTCCCTGCCAACGGGGATGAAAATTTCCCCATCTCTGTCCGTGCAGGTGGAAATCATCCCCATCCCTACCCCATTCAGGGCAAATTCCCACAGGAATCGGGGAAATGGGGAAAATCGTCATCCCTAAGTTTGATAAACAACCCTATTTAAAATTAATTATTGTTATTTTTGTATTGTAAAAATTATTAAAAGTAGAATATAAAATATAAATGATTATTAATTATTATATAGAACAATTGTATACTCTTACATGTTTCTATTGTTTATCTTTAGCTTAACAAATCTCGTACGATACATTGGTCCCCGCAAGTAAGCATATTAAGAGTTTCATACTTTTCACATTGTATAATGCAAATGGTTGACACAAACTATACACAACTTGGTGTTCTTTACAAGGGAAATAACTAAGGGGGTGTTCAACAATATTTTTCATTTGTTTTTCGAAATGCCACGTCAACAAAAAATAAAAATATGTTATTGAACCCAATTTTTGTTTTCAAAGGGAAAATAAATTGGTTTTTGTTTCGAAAAATAATACATGTTTTTGGAACCAATAAAATATTGCTTTTTAAAACAAAAATAATTTTTCTATAAATAAATTAAATGATTTATAGAACATGATGTTGAATAATCAAATGAAAACATGTTTTCAAAACCATATTTAAGTAGATGTTTCTTGTGTTTTTGTTTTGAGAAATATTATGTTTTCAAACAAGTTGGTTTTGATTTGTTTATGGAACCAGCAACAAGAAAACAATTCACAATGTAGAACACCCCTAAACGTGTATGACACCATTTTCTTGTGATGCGTATATATATTTCCCTTCCTTTCCCTATCTCTCCAAACTATATAGAGCTTAACAGCTAAATTGATAAATTGAATATTTATAGGGATTTGCATAAATTAAACAAACTCATGTGTTTATGCCACAACTTGATTCCACAGGCTGTCTTCATGAGCCATTTTTGGCATCTTTTTGAGCTTTTTTTTTTAATTTTGGGGTGTAATTGGATAGGCCTAGGTTGAATGTTTGTTAAGTTTTGAAGGGTCTAGGTCCAATTAAGGATGTAAACAGATCAAATTCGAATAGAATTAGGCAATATCTGAATTCAAATCCAATTAAATATTTTAATTAGAATCAAATTTAATCAATTAAATATTTTAGGTAATTAATAAATATATAAATTATTTAATTATATAATTTAAATATTATATATAAATTGTATACATTATTCAAATATTTTATATATTGTATATAAGAATTAAATAATCTATCAAATCAGATATTTATCAAATGGAATAAAGCATATCCAAATTCAATTTGATTATGTCAAATCTTGAATTCGAAATTGTATTTCAAATAACATTGACACCCCTAGGCCTGATATAGTTTTCTTTTTCTTTTTAATCATGTACCCAATTTCGACCCTTACTTTTTAGAGAGGGATTGGTTTGGGATAGTGTGTATGAGTTTGAACCAATTATTAATTGGTTCTATAAGGTTGACCCAAAACCAAACCAATTATTGGTTGCAATAATCAAGTTGACTTGATTAGACCCAATTATACTTGACATCTATGATAACAACAACTTAGAATTTGATATTTTATAATATGGTCATTTTGCTAAAACCCTCTATAGTTTCGCAATTTTATTTAAACCTACCCTATAGTTCATATTTTACTAAAACACCCTTTATAGTTTGCAACCTATTTACTTAGTCGACCTTTCATTAAGAACTATTTGTTTTGCCATACGAAAATAGTAAAATGATCACCTAAACTAACTGAAAAATGTTCAAGGGTATGGACCCATGGTTCTTTATTCCCAAAGTAGCCCTAAACTAAGTGGAAAATGTTCAAGGGAATGGGTCCACGGTTGTTTATTCCAAAAAGTACCCCTAACACTTTTTTGTATAAAAAACTAAATTAACCAAATAAAGAAAAATAGAGTGGTTGTTCATGTTTTACTAGGGGCAAAAATGACATTTTTGTTTTTAGTTTCCTTTGATTAAATTTATTTGAATGGGTGTTAAGGTTAAAACTGTCATTTTCCACTTTCATCTAATGAAAGGTCGATTAAGCAAATTGATTGCAAATTATAGGGGATGTTTTAGCAAAATACAAGCTATAGGGTAGGTTTTAGTAAATTCATGAAACTATATGTAGGGGTGCTTTAATAAATTGTTTATATGGTGATAAAACAAGTATTTTTAACCAAAATTATCTTATATACTATCTATAAAATTTATCTATTTATACATAACAATAACAATTTTTACAAAAAAAAAAAACTTTACTGTTAGCATAAATTACAAATAGGTACCTTGAACTTTCAAATGCAATACTTTGCCTCTTGAACTTCAAGAAATAGACACCCTCTTTTAACTAATCTAACATCATTGATTATTCTATGTGGTAAAAATACTAAAATGTGCATATATATATTGAATTATTGAAAAACAAAAAATTGAAAATGACCAAAATAATGCTGGTTAAATACACGTTTTTCTTGAGAATAACCTTAGAACAATCAAACCTGAGAATGAAATCCGAGAAGAAAAGTAAGGATTTCAAAAATAACAACACAAGAATGAATACCAAATAACTACGATTCGTAGAGGAGAAGGGCAATACAATTTCAAGAATAAGAAAAATTAAACCTAAGAACGAAACCCCTTCTCTTCTTTCTTGATTGATTCATGTTTGTTGTAGTTTAGACTTGACAATGAAATTTGATAGAAAATTAAGGATTTGAAAATAAACCAGGGTGTCTATTTCTAGGAATTCAAGGTGTTTAAGTGTCGGATTTGAAAGTTTAGACACCTATCTATCACTACCCCAAAGTATAGGACACTCAAGTATATGTTTGGCATTGATGTTGCAAATATAACACCGTTGTCTTTGTTGATGTGTGGGTTAGAAGCACCGTTTTTTGAGAAAATGATGTCGTTGGAAATGTTGCTTCCAGGTAGGATGTTTCATGGAGCAACAACAACATTTTCTATTTGGTACCAATGCTTCAGGAAACGCTTTCAGCATGGGTACCTATTATCCAGTGCCACAACATGTCCCAATCATTGCCATCTCATGTCCTTGTTGGCAACAATGAGCTGTAGCTCCAGGTAACGCCAAATTCGGCATTGCTCCAAGCCACGCCTTCCCAATTTCTAAAGCGTGGCTTGGAACACTATTTTTTATGGAAAAGCGATTCCAAACAAGCAGGCGTTTCATAGAGCACCATTTTTTTCAACATAGTGCTGATGTGTCGCTATTTTCTGGAGCAACGACACCGATGCCACACAAATGCCAAGTGTCACATTTCAAAATGGTCTAAAAAATATGAAAATGATAGTTTTGGGATTCTGAAATGTTTGAAGTCACACATAACTTCACTTGTTGTGGATAAATGATGTAGTACTACAACTGCAATAGGGTGTCCATTTCTAGGACTTTAGGGTATTCAAGTATTGCGTTTGAAAGTTAAAAGGATTGATTTCACGATAGAATCAGTTTTAGTGATGACAATTTGACCTATCCTCGTAGGACCCTGCCCTGGTCAGGGTAGTTTTTTTTACCACTAACTAGGGTTTGGGGTGGGTTCAAGGAAACTCAAAACTTAGGGGAACAGGGATGATATTTGTCCACCCCGCCCCGACACCCGCCCTGAAGCCGCTCCGACCATATGTATATATATATATATATATACATAATACCGTTTATGTGAAAATTGGGGATGGGGTTAGTAGGGGTAGCAACAAGTCGAGCTTTCCACGAATTGCTCGAGCTCGATTCGGTTCGGTTTCAACCAAGCTTCGAGCTAAGCTCAAGCCCAATTCATTGGCTTGGATATGAAACGAGCCGAGCTCGATCCTATTAGAGCTCAACTCGTGAGGCTTGCGAGCCAACTCGAATATAATTATAGAAATTAAAATATATAATAAAAATATTATAATTATTAATTATTATAATTCCTAGTTTTTTAAATATCAAATAAAAAATATTTTTATATATAATTTTTTATTTTTATAAAACATTTTTTCTCAAAATCGAGTTCAAACTCAAGGTTCTGGCTCAAACCGAACTCGAACTTGAATCGAACCTTGTAGAACAGTCTCGAAACGAGCTCGAACTTTGTACTATTCGACTTGAATCCACCCCTCGGGTTAGGATTTCTAGCCCCGCTCGGGTTCGGGGCAGAGACGGTGCAGGGCATTTTTGTTCTGGTGGGAGAAGGGGCAGGAAAAACCCGGACCCGCCCAACCCCTTTGCCATTCCTATTCGGTTACTCTACATTTTCAAATCCTCTATAGGAACCGAAGGATAATGGGCCGCCCAATACTGATGACTGATGTCAGGGTCACAACTTCCTGACCGTGGGATCCGTTTTACGGATCTCAACTGTAGACGATTTAAAGTTTTGAACTCGTAAGAGTAATGAACGACTGTGACGGTTAACGATTATTAGCAGTTCTGCTTGAGAGAGCCTGAGACTGAGAGCTTCTCAAAAGATTATGATAGATTCAGGCATTCAGCAAACTTTCTTCACGAACTCTGGATCTTATATTATTTTTGCGCTTGAAAACATGTATCCTGCCCTCCACCAGAAACTCGTCTCTTCTCACAAAGACAGCACGGTTTGGCGGTATCTGCGAACAAAAACAAAAGGACCTTTCTTTTTCGATCTCGAGAGCTCTGTGTATAGCAAACAGTATTCAAGAGCTCAAGAGGATTCACTCTCTTATCATCACTTGGGGACTCGAACAATCTGTCTTCTTCTCCGGTAAACTTATTAGTAAATACGCCCAATTCGGGGACCCTATTGCCTCTCAATCAGTTTTCCGTCGAGTTTCGCAGTCGAGCAATATCTATCTATGGAATTCCATCATAAGAGCACTTACCCAGAACCGGATGTTTTCCGAGGCTCTGAACTTCTACTCCGAGATGCAGAAGTTGGACCTGCGACCGGACAGATTCACCTTCCCTTCGGTTATCAATTCCTGTGCGGGTTTGTTGGATTCAGAGATGGGAAAGGTTGTTCATCATCATGTTTTGGAAATGGGTTTTGCCTCGGACCTGTATATTGGAAATTCCTTGATTGACATGTATTCGAGATTCGGTTGTTTGGAAGAAGCGCGTAGTGTGTTTGAAGGAATGCCTCAAAGAGATATTGTTTCTTGGAATAGTTTGATGTCGGGGTATAGCGCAAATGGGGAATGGGAACGAGCTTTAGAAGTTTATTACAAATTAAGAATGTTGGGTTTTATTCCCGATTCTTTCACGGTATCTAGCATTTTACCTGCATGTGGAAGCCTGCTTGCTGCTGAAGAGGGGAAGATAATCCATGGCCTTGTCCACAAGATCGGGATTGAGAAGGATATATTAGTGAATAATGGGCTTATTGCTATGTACTTTAAGTTTGATCATATAACAGATGCTCAAAGAATTTTCGGTAATATGATAAAGAGAGATACTGTATCTTGGAACACTATCATTTGTGGGTACTCAAAATTGGGGATGCATGAAGAAGCAATTAATCTGTTTCAGAACATGGTTTTTAGTTTTAAACCAGATCTGTTAACTATAACAGCTGTTCTCCATGCTTGTGGTCATGTGGGTGACTTGGAGCTTGGAAGATATGTTCATGAGTACATGAGTAGAAACGGGTATGAATGTGATACTACAGCTAGTAATATTTTAATAACAATGTATGCGAAGTGTGGGGATCTACCAGCCTCGCTTAAAGTATTTGATGGAATGGTAAGTAGAGATTCTGTATCATGGAATTCCTTGATTAACAGTTACATACAATATGGATGTTATAATGAAGGGATGGAACATCTTTTGGTGATGAGGAAGATGGGATTGAAGCCTGATTCTGTTACTTATGTCATGCTCCTATCTATGTGTACTCAGATAGCCGCCATGGTCCTAGGGAAAGAGCTTCACTGTGATATCATTAAAATGGGATTTGATTCAAGTCTAATTGTGGGCAATGCTCTTGTTGATATGTATGTAAAATGTGGTAGCTTGGAGGATGCATTAAAAGAATTTGATGATATGGAAACCAGGGATGTAATAACATGGAACACCATCATTGCTGGATGTGTTCAGATTGGGGATTGTAGTTTAGGATTGAAAATGATCAGCCAGATGAGGGCCAAAGGAGTGATGCCAGATGTAGCAACCTTCTTAGGGATTTTGCCTGGTTGTTCCCTCCTGGCAGCTAAACGACAAGGTAAAGAAATTCATGGTTGCATTTTAAAATTTGGGTTTGATTTGGATGTTCCTATAAGGAATGCATTGATAGAGATGTACTCGAAATGCGGTATTTTGGAGTGGTCTCTTCATGTTTTTGACCACACGAAAGTGAAAGATGTGGTGACATGGACTGCACTAATATCTGCTCTCGGGATGTATGGTCAAGGAAAGAAAGCTCTAAGAGCTTTTGCTGAAATGGAGGCAACAGGTATTGTTCCTGATCATGTGACCTTTGTGGCTATTATTTTTGCTTGTAGTCATGCAGGTTTGGTGAAAGAAGGTTTAGCATGCTTTAATCAAATGAAGAATGACTATAACATTGAGCCTAGAATTGAGCATTATGCTTGTATTGTTGATCTTTTATCTCGATCTGGGCTTCTATCTGAAGCAGAAGAATTTATCCTTGCAATGCCATTCAATCCAGATGCAAGCATATGGGGATCTCTACTCAGTGCATGTCGTATAAACAGTGGAACCCAGATCACAGAACGTGTTTTGGAACATATCCTTGCAATGAGTTCTAGTGATACCGGGTACTATGTTCTAGCATCAAACATATATGCATCTTTAGGAAAGTGGGATCAAGTTCGCAAGATACGGAAATCAATCAAAGACAGGGGACTTAAAAAGGATCCTGGATGTAGCTGGATTGAGATCCGAAATAGGGTTTATGTGTTTGGAACTGGGAACAGGGCTGTTGAACAATCAGAAGAGATATATCAGTTACTGAGAAAGCTTGGGGATCTGATGGTGAAAGAAGGATATGTTGCTGATCCAAATTTTGTTCTGTATGATGTAGAGGAGGAAGAGAAAAGAGATATGCTTTGTGGACACAGTGAGAGACTAGCCATAGCATTTGGATTGTTAAACACAAGTCCTGGGACCCCTTTGCAGATAATGAAGAACTTACGGGTTTGTGGGGATTGTCACACAGTGACCAAGTACATTTCTAAGATCAAGGAAAGAGAGCTGATAGTTAGAGATGCAAATCGATTTCATATCTTTCGGAATGGAACATGTACTTGTGGAGATTATTGGTGATGATAATTTTCTGACCTAAATTTTTTGGTGAGGAACTGGAAAAGCAATCTTATAGAGAAAATGAAGACATTATTTCATTTGCATACCTTTGTGTTTTCCACAACCCACAATGTAACTTGCACTGGGTAAGGCTGGATGCCCTTTTTTACTTGGTAAAAATAAACTTAGTTAAGTTCTATCCCAACACCATCAAAATTGTCTATAACACCATCAAAATTAATTTAAAAAGAACCAATACCGCCTTCTGAATGTTACTTATTGAGAATTACATCTGTGTCAGCAATTTTGATTGTCAAGTTATCCCTCTCATCTTCAAGCATTTTCACTGGCTTTTAGGTCTTTTTTCCAATTGTTTTTTCACCTTGGGTCTACCTTGTAATGGTTTATGTAACACTGACCCTAGATTTTCCCTATAAACATTAATCAATGCACTTTTGCTGATCTGCATTGCCGTTATACAATCATTGTTTCTCTTCTCTTCTCCTCTTCCCATCCTTTTCTTCAAGTTGAGCTCTTAGTCATCTCCTTTTGTATAGATTTTAGAGTAAGAGGAAGCCCCCTGTCCCTTGATTTTTAACCATTCACAATTTGATATTTACAAAATTCAGTTAGTTTTTACAACAAGTTTTTTCTCCTTGTAATGCTTTTCATTTACTATTTCAGGTCTCAGTAGTAGGAAAAGCTAATTTCCTAAAGGTTCAAAATATCAAGCATATTGTATCATATCTTTTGATGCCCAATACACCAAATATTAAAACTTTTGATATTTTAACTTTAAAACATTAAAATACATGATGTGACAAGTCTGTTGTCACTGTGTCAGATAAAAATATACAAAAATATAGTTTTGCTTAGCCAAACTCTCGATATGCAAAAAATTGTGTATCAAGAGCATTAATGCTTTGAGCCTTGGCTTCAGTTGCCAAAACTGTCTTCTTCTGTCAGTTCATTAGCACGTAATTTTTGTTTTATATACTCCTTTATGTGCTTATTTCTTCTTTCAGCTATTGAATCTTTTATGTTGGTGGATACATATACAGACTGAAGATCTTCTATGAATGTTCTCACCGCTATTATTTTCTCCTTTTATTCAAGTTATTCATTTTATGGGTTTTAAATTTTTGATATTATGAATAGAATAGACATGTTCATATGTTGCATATTATGAGTTCATAGTGATAATAAGTAATCTCAATGCTGGTAAAATAGCAACAAAAACACTAATAATAATAAAAGAAAATATTGACTCTAATGCAGCCTGAAAAGAATACAAGTGAATTTCCTGTAAGTGCAATCTATATTTTTCTTTCTGAACCTTAACCAAGCTTGGACTGGAAAGATTTGGCAGACCATTGTTGTCACACGCAGTGGTATTTTGTTGGGCAACATTGATCAACTTGCTACCCAATATTGAGGCTAAGAAGAATGGCCCATATTCTTATGCAATATTGTTCTATAAAATTATTATTTTATAAACTGACTATATCCCATTTGGCTGGCCAAGTCTAACAGTCCAACCATGATATCCCTACCCATAGTTGGGTCTGATGTTAAACTTGTTTTTATTCTGATAATTAGAGGTGTAAATCGGGTCATGCCGGACTGGCATGGCACAATCCATGGGCCATCCCGAGCTGTACCGCCCTCCCCTGGGATAACTTGGGGGGTTGGCCTGGCACAGCCCACAGCCCAAGCCCATGCAGGCCCGTGTCATGCCATGGGCCAGGCTGGTCCGTGGGCCAAGCCTTGGACCAAACCGGGCCATGGACTGGGCCACGACTATTTATTTAAAAAAAAAAATTGAAAAAAAAAACTTAAATTTTTTATTTTATATGAAATTTGATGTATGTGATTGCTTATATATACAATAATTAAATAAATTAATATAATAAAATTAAAAACAATTGTTTATTTTATTAATATATTATATACTATATACTCTTATATAATTATAATTTATATAAATATATAAATATTATATATATAAATAATATATTGGTTATGCCGGCACGCGGGCCACGGGCAGCACGGCCCACGAACATAAAACCCCAGGCCCAGCACGATCCACATGATCATGCCGGGCTTGGCATGGCCCAATTTACACCTCTACTGATAATCTCTCATTCTCATACTCTATATATATGGAGATCCTTCGATTTTCTAACCTGTTCCTTTATCTTCATTACTACATGTTCTTTTCTTTGCATATAGTAAAGTGTTTGATATGCTAGTATATACTATATAGTTGACAGAATTAGGTTAGCTTGGTTTTTCCATGGCTTTGACCTACACAAGTATTGTTCAGTCTAAGGTTTGATCACTTAAACCCAATAATATTGTTTGGAAGGTTAATTTGGTCTGTATACTCCACCCTAACCTAAAAACTTTGATCCTAGAACAATACTTCAGTGTCAACTAGGCCCACGGGCACACCCTAATAAAATTCTTCTCTGTTCACCCCTTCCCTTGATAATGAATCTTGCTAAACATATTGAACACTTCTAAAATTTTTGTCCAATATTTAATGTAATGTTTTCTATAACCACTTCCATTGTATGGTTTATCTCCTAAAAAATTTTAGCAATGCATTCTTCTCTTACCTTTCATTCCATATTTTCTTTCTTTCCTTTCTCTTTTTTCAGTGATGAGTTTTTGGCACTACATTCTTCCCAAATCAATAACAAGGCATTTCAACATAACCCCGCCTAATCCTTTGCGAGAGTTGAAGAAGGTAGATCTAAGAAGCCAGCTCTCCTCTAGCAAAGTCTACCTGATTACCAAAGAGAGAAGGAATGTTGGCATATGTTAACGAAGAAGGAGAAGGATTTTAGTAAATTAGATGTGGATCCAATGTCCTACAAAAGCTACATCTGTGCACATTAGTCGACAACATAGGATTAAGCCTAACTTTCTAGGCTCAGGCCCAGCCTGCAGCTCAAAATCCTACAAAAATCTTGGGTTGGGCTGGTTGGTTTTGTATAGGATCACCTAGTTGAACCCTATTAGAGTAAGAGATTCAAGAGGAAAGTACACAGTTCCATTTAGATAATTACAATAGGTCTACGCTAGAGGTCATCTCTTGGCTCATATTTATTTGTTTGTCATGGATGAACCAATTAGATATCTAGAGGAAGTGGATCTGCTATATACTAGTCTTTTTCTTATAATCTTCAGCTGTAGTCTCTCTGGCTTCTCTTTTTGTTTTCCTATAATCTTCAGCTGCTAGAGTCATGGTTTTTAAAAACGAACCGGTGACCAAACCGGTCAGGGGTCCTGTTACCGGTTCGAACGGTCGGACCGTTCGACTCGAACGACCGGCCCATTCTGACCACAGAATAAAAAAATTAAAAAATTGGAAAACGATCAAAACTGTTCGAATGGTTAACCAGCCGGTTCAGTGATTTGCTGACCAAAATTAACGGTTTTAGGGGGAAAAGCGGTTTTGGAAGAAAACGGAACCAGTCAGGTGACCGATTTCCTTTTTTCTGGTCCAGTTTTGAAAACAGTGGTTAGAGTGGAAGAGCTTTCTTTACCCAATTTCTGTAACCCTAGAACCCTGAAAGGATAATATTTTCCGAAATGTTGTTTCAGATGCCAAAATGTTGCCTTTTTTATCTGATGTGGTGCCTAATGGTGCTTAGCTGTTATAAAGAAATAATAAAAAAAATGTGTGTAACACCACCCACTCTCCCTATTTTAAGACAAATTCCATACAAAGGTTACCTAAGAAAACGGGAATAGTTCCAACCATACCCTGAATGGGAACATGGCTATATTATGGGTCACTTTCTATGTTGCTTCAATTTTCATATTTTTCACCGTCAATTTTTCAATCAATGACGTACAAGGATCATTACCCAAGCTTTGGAATTTTTTGCATGATCTGCCAAACTTGAACCAGCGTTCTCTCTCTTGTCAGTCCAAGATTTTACCACTGCACCAAGCAATGACCTCTATCTATCTATCTATCTATGTATTTATCTATCTATTTGTCTGTCTGCATGTCCCTAGATTTGTCTATCTGTCCGTCTATATAATTTTTATATCCCAAGAATTTCAACTATTCATATGGTTTCAACTATGATATGGAAAAGATATGATATCGAAAAAACAACTAAGAAATAAATTAAAATTATTAATATGAAAGCCAAACAGATGTTACTTATCAAATTCATGGGTGGATTTTGATTGGTCAAAACTCTTTCCATATTATATCTTTCCTGTATCATAAATTTTCTCTATTCGTAATTTCAGGGCATGCCTTATTTGAACAAGAGAACTGTTTGGCTGAATGTAAAATAAAGAAAAACAAATGTTTTCAAAACATTGATAATAAATTGACTACTCCTTCTGATTTTCCATAAATAATTTTCTGAACATACATACGTGTGATCCTCTTGTTTTGCAAGTAGAATCTAACATTAACTAAAATAATGTATTTTCATATTAAATACCATTTCCCATTTAAATCATTCATTTTCCTTTGTTTTACAAAAAACAAAACACAATCAATGTATATTATACAGGATGTTAGCCTGTATATTGGATCCCATGGTTATTCAGGATACCTGAGTAACTAATACCCTCCTGAAAGGTGAATAAATAGCTTACCCACCAGCTTGTTGAAGCCAATAAGTGCTTTCTTCCTCTCATCTGGCTCTTTACCGGAGTAACTGGTAGCATACAGAAATGCTAGAAACTTGCTTATCTAGGCAAAATTTTTCGGGTAAATTATAGATAGGTATTCTGTACTTTGAGGGTAGTAACAGATTGATGCACTGAACTTTCAATTACAACACTTGAATACCCTAAACTCTTAAAAATAGACACGGGTCCATCTGTCAGTATTTCCATCAGTTAAACATTACATAATGTCAAAAATACCCTTTATTTCTAAGGTCATTCTCGAGTAACCAAATGTCTCCCAATGATGACATTCTCACATGAACAGCAAACAATAGATTAAATTTTTTGACGACAGCATTCTCTGGTGATGATTTTACTCCACAGAATGATCTCAAAAAATACATGAGAAGGGTATTTTTGATATTATGTAATATTGTAATGTCTAAATGACAGAATACTAATAAATGGATCCAAATGTCTATTTTTGAGAGTTTAGAATACTCAAGTGTTACAATTGAAAGTTCAAGGTACCTATCTGTCACTACCCCCAAA